AACTGTACATAGGAGAAACCAGTCGTATGCTCACTTAATGCACACTAGAACACTTATATAGCAATTCAATTAAGATAAGCCTATAGCTTGACACTTCAACAAAGCTGATCATTCCACTGAGCATTTTAAAGTACTTGCCCTATGATATGCTCCCTCTAACGTCAATCAATGAATCATTAACAAAAATGAAATAAGTTTTAAATTACGTTGTACAAGTCCTTTTGGTATTGGTGAATGCTTTCTCCATTTTTTAAATAACCTTCTTTATTGTTTTGAAAATTATATAACTTATTTCTTTCGGTGTTTTTTAAACTTGTTCTTATTAAATACTTTTACATTTTTTTTATATCTTTAATCATTTTTTATTTCCTCAGTCTCAATCAACAGCTTGTCAGTATTTTCTTCAGCTTTCTTATATCGTCATTACCATATTGTTTGAATCTTGTGTTTATATCTTATTTTACTTTGTGTTCGGTGTATTCTGTTCTCGTGTATTGGTTCCTTTTAGGACATCCTGTAGTAGTTTGTCATTAATTAACAGGTTTGTTTCTGGCTTGAAAAAGAGCATTTGCTTAAAAAATTGCTGCCAAAGAAATAAAAGATAAAACTAAAGTTTTTTGAGATGATTTGTCTCCAACAGTCTAATTTCTTTATTTTGCCACCTTTGAAAATCTTTGTTTGTAGTTCCATGACATCTATCTAAAGAGGACTGGCAAGACCTTAAAGCAGACTGGTTATGATGGTGATCTGATTGCCAGCTTCCAAGCGTCATGATAGTTAGTGCAGCTGAGAACCATTTTACACATGTTAACTGATGCCTATTCTGAGCATTCTGTTAGCAACAATGGGCAACAGGACTTTATTGTATGCATCTACTAGATTTAAATTACTGAAAAGGTGTTTGACCTACTTCAAAACATTCCCAGTATCAGCTGCAAATTCAGCAGAATTGATTGAAGTTTCTCTTCCACCATGATAACCACCCCTCCAAGAAGTACAACATTTAATGTAAGTTACTCATTATAATGTCATCATCACTCAGGCAAAGAATAACTTTCATTGCCTTCAATCTTATTTGGTTACAGAGCCATCAAATGGAAATACAGACCCATCTTGCCACCCCTACCTTTCACATCCTCTTTTTCAGAAATTGCCAATAGTTCTCTCTAATGTTCAATAATTTATTATTTATAACCAATAGAAAGCCAAAGTCTTCATCTATCAAATTGTTTTCTGTACAGAGAATTGTCAATTTCACTTTCAGTACAAGTTTTATTCCCATGGGAAACATGTTGACTATCTTAGATGAATTTATAATCGCTTTGTTGCATAGTTAGAAAGCCAGAAAAATTGTAATAGCTGTGGGACATTGTCTGTTTTTGCATCTTATTATTCAGTCTGTCTTTTGGTGCATTATTTAATTTAATAAAACATTATTTGGTGCAGTACTACCATTAATATAAAAAAGTAGGGTTAAGTATCATCAACAGTTGACAGCAAAGAAAAAAAGAAGGCTCAGGTAAATACTTTTTTTCTTGTTTCTCATGTGTATTCTTTATTTATTATTATAAATGTAACTAAGATAGGAAAGGTTTTGGTTTAATTAAGATTAGATTAAGTAAAATAATTAATAATATAATAAAAAATTTTTCACAAGTTACGCTCGCAAGCAGTTTGCAAGTAGCTTATGAATAATGTAATTCGATAGTATAATGTGAGGTGCACATTTTTCAAGTGATTTACAACTTATAATGGTGAGAATAGTATTTAGACATAGTTTAAAGGGCAATAAAACAATATAATTTAAGTATAAATAGATGTATACTGTATGTCAGGTTTCTATAGGGCCAGATTCTTTACAGTAGGTGTCTGTGATTTTTTTGGTGATCAATTTCAACAATAAATGGACAGCACACAATCCACTTTTTTAAAAATAATGTATTCAAAAGAAGTTTAACATTTGTACAAAACTTCATTACACTATTGGTTATCACAGTTGTATCCATATCTTTAAATAATTATCTCTTTTTCGTTGGAGCCCACACAGGCGGGTTGAATTACTTTCGAACACTTTGATAAGACTAGTTATTCTCCTCTATTTCTGTTATTACAATACAACCTGTGAAACTAACTTCAAAATCACCACTGTAACTATTGGTTATCACAGTCGTATGCAGAGCTTTAAATAATTATATACTTTTCATCAAAGTCCACACAGACAGGTTAGATTCTTTTTTTAAACAATCTTTGACAAGACAAATTATTCTTCCGACAAGTTACCTTATATCTGCTCACATACATAACTGTTCTCATTTAGTGCTCCCTTCTATTTGCAAAATTTTTTTTGCATGGCACAAGCCTTTCACTCCTATGTACCCCTTGGTTCATATGGTTTCAACAATAGACATGCCTCCTCACACACGTGACTCCCTCTTTGCTATTCTATCTAACTGTCATTTCTCATTTGGCAGTGCTCCTGTTCAGACATTTAGTTAGTGCTCTTTTCAATTGATTTTTTTTGTATCTTTATGTCAATATTTCTCAACATGTTTTGCCCTGGATCCCTGCACTGTGGCAAGTGGTGCCTGTCCAGGTATACTTCCATCACTTAGAATTGTGCTAAAACTTGCACTGTAAGGTAATGTTGATTTTATTTTCATTATTTCCATGGCCATAAAATGTACACTGTTCGTTACAATCACATAAACTAGAGATGAGGTGTTCCACAAGATTGGTCGTAGGATATTCCTTGTGATATACTTGCTTCGTAAATATGCCCATTCCGGACCGTACTTACCCATGGACTTCATGGGTAAAGCAGAAGGGGATAGCTGCCCATCCCAGCCATTTCTTAGATTGAATAACTCTTGTATGGTTGGCTTTTCAATATAGGGTTTCGTGGTCACCCATTGCACTATCTTCAGTGTGAATGTTCCTCCAGACTCTTCACTGTGCAGTTGTGATTATTGCACTGAGAGCTGTTATAATATCTGTAGCAGATGTTGTTGTTATATAAAAAATGGCTATCCAACCCACTGGTTTAGCACATGGTATGAAG